AAGCTTTATTCTGATCATTCTGAGGTAGCACCACATCTCAAACGCAGATATTTTTGTTTTCTCCTTTCTTTGTTCAAGTCCAGATCTCAGCTGTCATTTAAAAAATGTAGCTCTCCACCATTTTATAGGTATGATGCATCATGAATGTAAATTATAAAAATACATGTAGTTTGTCAATACAGGACTTAATTCCTGTCGAAAGGACTGCAGGATTAACAATGATATTATCAGCCTAAGGATCAGTGCATGATTTCTTGACAAACGACTCGAATGAGTGTTCAAGAAGATAATATAATACATGTAATAGAAAGCGCATAGAGCATGCCCTTGAGCATGGATATGCGGTATATAATGCAATTATTAATATTATTATTATTATTATTATTAAGAATAGACAACATGTAGTCAAGACGAGATCTACTGTACGGTTGCATAATGGATGGATAAACAATAATAATTATGTGCCATGTCAAAGATCTTTCATCTTTTATGAACACTATCCCAACCCAAAAAGTATAAGTGAGGTGAGAACGTTCTCGTTTTTATTAATTGAAGTTACAGTTACAGAACAACCTAGGTAAGTGTTCTCAAAATAGCAAGTTGACGCCTGGCGCAAGCAGGAAAATACGAAACAACATGGTGATTCAAAACTCGGTCAGCACTAAGCATTTGCGCCGTTCGCCCTGGATCTCGTTTTCTGGTGGCGTGGCGGAGAGCTCAGGCGCGTCTGTGGTTGGGCATGCAATTTTGTTAGGGGAATCCCCTTCTCTAGGCGAAGGCGGTAGTGGCTTTTCATTGGCCGGTGCAGGTCATGTGACCGCTATCTCTACTTCGTCTCTCTTTCAGCAGCGAATGTATTTTTGTGGTCGCTTGGAAATTCCACCCTCGATCATTATAATGCCTGTCGGAGCCCGGACTTCGTACATTCACTGAAATTTGCCTGGTGTTGCAAGTGTTTATTTCTTGGATTACTGCACTTTTGTGGATACGAGTTACTGGTATACCTTGTGAATTAAGTATTTCAACGTGTCTCGCTGCATAATGGAAGACGATATTCAAGCCGATTGTGAAGGTTATGGGCATGGGAACAGCAGGCGGTTACACGCTGCGAATATGTCGACCAAGAAGTTCAACAGTATTGAAGACCAAGAGGATTCTGCCTTGGGGTCTCTTGGCTATGTATCAGGGGATCTGAATAGTCTCAGTATTGTAGACTTTCCAGTGGTTGAGGAGGAGAAAGAGCAAGAACAACAAAAGAACAACCCTTCCTTTGACATTGTGGACTCGTTCAGGGGATTAGATATTGTTGGCAGAGCACAGTCACAGAGTTCGCAGACAGATTCAAACAGATGTGATTCAGGACTAGTTGAGGACCGTCCTAGCATTGACTCTGTAGAAAGATGTGAATCCAACATTCGAAAGGAGCATTGGGTATCTCCTAATTTTTCATCGGAACAAGTGATGGACATCTTCAGAGGAGATGAAGACGGTGACAAGTAAGTCTAAGTAGCCAAGACAACTCTTTGGACATTCTTATATTCTAATCAAGTCGATCAAGTGAAGTTAATGGGGTCACTGAATCATAAGTTGATTAGCGTTAGGTTAGGCCTTAACCTTAATGGGAGCATGAGTAAAAAAAACAACTCAAAAGTACAAAAACGATGTTGTACAGACTGTTGTTTCAGGTCTGGTGACCAAATGAGAAGTGTGGAAGATCTAATCAGTTGTTTTCGAGTGGGAGGGTGTGCATTTTTAAAAATTCTGAGAGAGAGAGAGAGAGAGAGAGAGAGAGAGAGAGAGAGAGAGAGAGAGAGAGAGAGAGAGAGAGATTATCAAGCCTAGATTTCTGGTCTAGCAAGAATATAAAACTTGATCTAGATCTAGATCTATTCTAGAGAATCTAGATCTAGAAACCTCTAGAATCTAGATCTAGAATCTAGACTAGAAATAGAAATCTCGTATCAAAATTCTATATGAATGGAAATTTGCATGTTTTCTTCAGTGACTTCAATTTGTATACGAATGAAACTTTCTCACACATCTACAATATGGGTTGGGGTCAATTTGGACGTGATATGGGAATTGTGGGTTTGCCACTTCGTGCGTCGAGCCATGCCCTTTGTGCGTGCTACCACGGTAGGAGGGACATCGATCCAAAAGACTCAGCACACCTAAATTTAGGCGTTATGGAAAGTACGCACTTCTATTTTTGGAATTTCCCTGTTCGGGCCCCAAGCCTCGAAGGGGGTGGGGTTTATTGACCTGCCGCCGGAAAACCCAGCTTGTGACTTGCGCACTGCGCAAATGTCGTCAACCGTGAACCCTCCGCGCATAAAGAAGGGGATTTCCCCCCAGATAACCCAGATAAGGACGGAAAAAGTGGGTCACACCTTTGCCTTTGGTCTGAGTTCAGGCCTCGGTCAAATTGAAGCACAGGTACACTCCACCACCCCCCACCCTCCCCACATACACGCTCGCGCACGCACGCACTCGATGGTTGTTACTGACGTACTTTAACCTTTTTTGTGGGCAGGATGACAGCTATAACTGAACGATCTCACGAGTTTATGACTCATTTCAACTTCTAGTTTAATTATATTTGTAAAAAGTAGGTTTTTTTATGCCCCCATCGATACAACTTAGGATTTGATTTAGGAAGCGGCTACCGACCTTGCTTGTCAGGGCCAACTCTGGCTGAGAAGGCTTCAATATTCCAGCAGTGCTAGCAGAAAGACCGAGATACTTGATAAAAATTCTCCCCACTCAAGAATCAAACTCGGGTCTCTTGTGAGCCACAGCAAAGCGCCTAACTGCTTCTCAACAGATGCCTGTTATCTAGTTTTAGAAGAGGAAACTACAAACTGAATTTAATTGAGATTAACATTTCCATTGAAGTTATTTGATTTCTTAAGTTAGACTGTAGAAGAAAGATAAGTCAAGTTTGTTTATGATGCCCTTTTATTTCCCATAAAAGAACAAAATGTATTCGCACTGACCCCTTAGAAGTTTATATACTTCCAGCTTCCTACTGTGAGCAGATGTGTCTGTTAAGTTTGAGAGGGAGGATGGGTCAGTCTGATTTTCTAATATTCTATTTAATGTCTGGGATAAGAGATTATGAAATATTACGGTTTCATACCATTGTATGTGTGGGGGAAGGGGGGGGGGGGG